TTTAGTATGAACTTCTTGCAAGCAGATTATATTTAATTTTAATTTTTCTAGTTTATGAAACATTTTTCCCTTTTGATGCTGAATTCAATCCATTTATATTTATTGTAATCAATTTATTTTCTTCCATTGTTTATACTTTATATGTAGGGTTTATTGCTCTCGTTGTTTGTTCTCTTGCTTCTTTTAGTTCTACCCTTCCACCTGCTGCTCCCTCTTCTCGTATTTTTTCATCTCTTTTTTCTTTATCTCTTACTTCAACCATCTCCTCTTGAAATTTAACTATTTCCTCATCTCATATTTGCTCTTCTTCTTTTCCTCTAAAATATTTGCCATAAAATAATTCTGCTTTCTCTATTAAGTCCAATCTGTGTCTTTGTTCTTGCCAAGTAAATATTAAACCTTTTTGAATCAACCATCTATAGTACACATCCTTCTTAGTTAAAATTTTCATCAAGAATTGGTATTCTCTTCTTAAATCTTTCACTTTTCTCGATACTTGTTTTAGGACTGTAATCTCCTTTCCTTTATATTTCAATGGGTCATCCCTTGCTCTCTGTAATATTTGTGTTTTAATTGCTTTCTTAGTGAATCTTACATGGACTTATCTGGGTAATTTGTTTTTTATAGCATATCTTGTATACTCTCAGAACACTTCCATCCATCATTTTTTTTTTTTTTTGATATCTTCAAGACTCCTGCCAGCACTTATCATTATTTCTGCAAGGTTTTCTCCTTTTTCTTCCTCAATATTTTGAAATCTGAGATAAAAATCTGCTCTATCCATCTCCCAGGCCAGAATTCCTTTTTCCTTGTCTTGTCCAACTGCTATCAGCCTTTTATCAATTTCTCCAACTTTTTTTCTCTGTCTGGTCTCCCTTTTCTTCTATGGTTTTTTTTTGAAATATTTCTTCATTCTTCATCATTTGTTGAATATTCTCTATTTTTTAATCTGTTTCCCCCATTCTCTCTTCTATTCTTTCCATTCTATCTTCCAAACATTTTCCTTGTTCTTGTATTGCTTGCATTATTATTTGTAATGTGACCACCTTTTCCTTCTCCTTCTCTCTCTCTCTCTTTTTTTTATGCTTAGGGAGGAGGATGTAGGAATTGAAAAGCCTGTAGCCACTGTTTTCCTCATCTCTAGTTGGTTGTCCTCAATAGGTATCTGCTAGCAATGCCAGGACCAATTTTCTTCAGGTTCTTCTCTACCTTAATCCAATTGTAAATAAGAAGAAAAAGTAAAAGAGGAAAAAAATAAAACAAAAAATAAATAAATAAACCAATTTATTCATCCCAGGGAGCCAAAAAAATCAAAAATGTAAAATCCCCTAATAGTAATCCAAGAAAGAGGAGAAAAAGCAGCAATGATAATTAAAAAAGTAATCCACAGGTAGTTTTAAAAGGGAAAAAAGAAAAGACAAAAAGAGAAAAAATATATATTCCAACAATGAGGCTAAAAAAATTAATAGTTTAGAAAAAGCAAAAAAAGGGCCTAGAATGAGTGCCAGCCACTAAAAGAAAATTCAGTTGTAATTTAAAAATAAGTCACACAAAAAATCACAGCCACCATGCAATATCCAAGGCATCACAATCAAAATTTCAACAAGATATAATCCAAGGTCACAGTAGTCTTTTCTCTTTCAATTTCAATCTCCAGCTGTTTAAATTGTTTTACAAGAGAAGCACCTATTAAAACAATTCTTATTCAGTGCTCAACTCTCTCACTTCTCTTAATGTAAACAGCGTGTAACTAAGAAAATTTTCTCAGCAATTGTTTTTTCAGTCCCTTCAGAAATTTTTTATAAAGCCTCTAGGTGGCAGTGTTGCTTTGTTCTATTTCACTTTCACTACCTTGCTATATTGTAGTCAAAAAAGTTTCTAATAAAAGATTCCCTTTTAAAAGAGAGAGAGAGAGAAAAGGGAAAAAGTTCCAAATCTATCTTTAAGTTAAATGTTAAGAATTGTCTTCTTTAATTGTTATTATAAAATCCAGTCCAGTTAAAGTTTAGTCCTTGTTAAAATACAGTAAAATAATTCTAATTAATTTTAACAGTTTAAAACATGTTCAATTTCACCGCTTATTCAATCTTCTGTCTTCTATCTTCTTAAAATCTTTTTCCCCTTAGGGTGCTCTCTCATTTTTTGTCAGAAAAAGTTTAAACAGTCTCACCCAAAACCAACACACTTTCTTTCCCCTTCATCTTCTGTTCTGGAGCTGTCCCAACCTTTCAGCAGCTTTCAATGGCTACTTTCCTTCACAGCTGGATTAGAGAGCTTTTCCTGGATCAACCAGGGACTTTGCAATGTCCCCGGGATCAGCAGGATGTGCTCTCCTTGCCCATCATCTCTATAGGACAGTTTGGGTCCAAACGGACCGTCCAGCTGCGGGGATATCGATGCCGTTCCAGGAGCACCAAAATCATCCATCGTCTCATCGTGACGTCAGCCCTGCCCTCCTGAAAATAGATAACTTGACCACTGATGCTCCCTTTTTCCATGACTTTAACAAAAATGAATGTCATATATAATTATTTCTGGCTTGAATATGATTTCAAAGGAACTTATTGTCCAAGTTCTGAAGGCAGACTTTCATAGAAGATTTTGAAACATGGGCAGTGTGGCTATGATATCTCTGTCCAGCCTCAATTAAATTTAAAACACACACACACACACACCTGAAGATGATAACAATTAAAGTACTCTGATCAAGACTTGAGTTTCTTTCAAAGTTGAAATCCAACCTAGTTAAGTTCATTCTTGTAACTAATCATAATAATGTTCAAATTTGTCAAATTTGTACTACGTTAACACCATAGGCATTGACAAATTTGCCATCAGTCAATTGCAGAAGGTGGCTCTACTTAGAACAGCTTCCATCTTGTGGTGATATCTTTAACATCTTCTGAACATTTAACTGACTGTGTGATAATGATTAATAATGATAACAATAATAATAATGCTTCCTGCAATAACACCAGTGGAACTGCAAAAAACTGTGCTACTCAGAAGATTGTACATTTTAAGAAGATACTTGGTTGATACCTAGGATACTGGCAGCAACTTGTATCAACCATTAGTGCCAGTCAATTATATTTGTGATCATTTTTAAATGTTCAGGTGATTGAGTTTCATGTTTAATGAATAAAAGAGATAATAACAATATGTTTTGTCAGTTGAATGTAATTCCAACATGATTTCCTATTTAATCTTGAATATTTATTGATTTTTGTTTCTATTCCCTCAATATAAATATTATTTTTACCCAATATGCTAAAGTGCTTCATTATTTTAATTTTATAGAATTGTAATGTTGTATATGAAAGTCTATCTGTCTACCTGTCTGTCTATCTATCCATCAATCATCTTTGTTGCATTTTTTCTTTCAGTTTAAGCTCCATCCGTTTTTGAGAAAAGTTTCATTCAACAATAGCGCTGGTGACATTATTTCTTTTAATCAAAATGGTGAACAAATAGTGGGATTTGATATTATAAACTGGGTAACTTTCCCAAACCAGTCTTTTCATAGAGTCAAAATTGGAATGATAGACCCACATGCTTCTTCAAAAAGTGCATTTCTCATTGATGACAGTCATATTGTGTGGCCTATCAGGTTTACCCAGGTAAGAAAGCATCTATTTAGAAGTTTTCAGACATTACTGAAAAGTTAGAACATTTATTTATTTCTGAACTGGTGACCTCCCTCAAGATTGGATGCTGGGTGCTATCAAATAAAATGTTAAAATATAAAAACAGTATATATAAAAATTAAAAATGTAGAAGGAGGCAAGGGTGATTAAATATATTTTTTAAAAAAGGAAGACAGGATTTTCAGGGGACTAATCAGCCCCATGGCTTTGTGTTCCTCTGTGCTCCCCACACAAAGCCACAGAATCTTGTTTTAACTCATTTTTGGAAGGCTGGGAGAATGGGGACCTGTCTTACCTTGGAGGGGAGGGGATATTGCACAGGGCAGGGATAATAGCAAAAGAAGGCTCTCTTTCTAGATCCAGCTAGTCAAAAATTATTTGACTGATGGGGTAGCACAGAGTGATATATTGGGATGAAGAAGGTCCTGTGAATATCCTGATCCCATGCCATGTAGGGCTTTATAGGTCACAATCAGCACCTTGAGTTGGATTGAGAAGCAAACTGTCATCCAACGCAGCTCACAGAATAAAAGTCCAAAAAACCTTTCTTTGGATGCCAAAAATTGTTCATAAGGCTACGTTTTATACCAGTTGAAGCTTCTGGATACTTTCCAAGAGTAGCCCCAACTGCAGCTCATTGCAATAATCCAAATGAAACCTGACATGACTGACCAAGTGGAGAGACTCCCTCTTGCCTATAAACATAATTTATTGGTGCCTGCCCTAATATTAGGCAGAGCAAAACTTTGATTCAGAGGGAAACACATCTCCCTAAATTACTTTCTCCCAGTTCTCTTCTGTTGATCAACACAGATCAGTATATTGAACAATTTAGACTCTGGCCTCTTGAATGACCACACAGTCATGTCATTAAACACAGTCATGTCATTATCATCATTATGGTAAACACAATCATGTCATTATCATCATAATAAAACTGGGAACATAGTACTGCATTTATAAGTATCAATGATTTTCTGGATAAGTTTAAAAGCTCCCGGCTTTGCAAATATACGAAGCATTTGTCAAACTTGCCATGGAACAAGATTATCATAATCATATTGAAAGAAAATGAAATATAGCAAAATGTATTTGATTTTCTTGGGGTTTTATTTAGTGACAAGTGTATACCAAGAGTTGAAATCAAAGGACAAAACAATGGAAAAATCCTTTATGTATTATGATCTATCTATCTATCTATCTATCTATCTATCTATCTATCTATCTATCTATCTATCTATCTATCTATCTATCTATCTATCTATCTATCTATCGCCAAACTATATTTAATACTGCATCCAAAGCTGCTATAAAATCTTTTGTGTTACATTTTACTCTTTCTTTCATGTCTAGGGATATCCCCTTTCATTGTGTAATGACAATTGCCAAGCGGGTTATAGTAAAAGAAAGAAAGAAGGGAAGCCATTTTGCTGTTATGATTGTTTTCCATGTCCAGAAGGAAAGATATCAAATCACAAGGGTAAGATATATTAGATAAGAAGATTCTTCTATACAGCCTCTAGCTGATACATAGGAGGAAGTATGACTCTGAAATGTGAATGTTTTGTGTTTGACTTGGAAAAGTTGGTTCAGAATGCAGAGAACTACCAACAGAGGACTTAACTGTAATGGAATATATACAAGGGTGGGATTCAATTTTTTAAACAACTGGTTCTGTAGGTGTGGCTAGGTGGCTAGGTGGGTGTGGCTAAGTGGGTGTGGCCATGTGACTGGGTGGGCATGGCTTACTTTTTCTTTTCTATTTTTGGGGGCAGCACCCCCCTGGTTGTCGTTGTTTTTTTGCCTCCTGTGCCTCAGGGAAGCCTCCTGGGGGAGCATTTTTTGCCCAGGAAGGCAAAAAATGGAGAGGGGGCGCAGCACACCCACACCCACACTCACATGTCCTTTTTGCTTCCTGGGCCTCAGGGAAGCATCCTGGGTGAAGCAGTAAAATAGTGAGTAGGATTCCGGTACAGCTGATCATCAGAACAGCTGATGGTCGGGAGGGGAAAAACAAGAAATACCTTAAGGAATGACTGGGTGGGGGAGAATGGAGTCAGCGATGTCATGCATGCACAATAATGACTGACTGGGCAGGGAGGGGAGGGGTGGGCGGAGAGGGGAGGGGTCAGCCAGGGGCACAAATTGTGCAGAATCATAACAACCAGTTCTATAGAACTGGTCTGAACTGGTAGAATCCCACCCCTGAATATATACCTTGGGGAAAGAAAGGAAGATGTGCTGCCTAGGAAATAAGAGAAGATAAGAGAGGCAGGACCCCACAGTTGCTTAATAGTCCTAGAAAGTAGCAGGGGTGGACTGCTCAGGTTCACCCATGTCCAGGCGGACCTGTTGCTAATGTTATGGGTGGTTTGGCAAACCGTCAAATCCCACCTCTCGCTGGCCTACCCCACCCCTCCCAGGAGCTTCCACGTGGCTCATTTTGGATGTGAGGTAAGTGCAGGGTGCATGCAGAGGCTCAGGGAGGGGGGGGGAAAATGGGCCTTCTGGAAGTTCCAGAAGTCCAGAAGTGGGCCCATTTCTGGCCTCCAGAGGGCCTCTGGGGCCTGGGAAAGGCATAAAATGCCCACCCACCAGAGGTGGTATTCAGCAGGTTCTGATCAGTTCAGTAGCGGAAATTTTGAGTAGTCCGGAGAACCACAAATACCACCTCTGACTGGAGATTTTACAGTATCCTTCCGCTGCCACACCCACCAATCCACACCCACAGAACCTGTAGTAAAAAAAAAATGAATCCCACCACTGCCACCCATCATGGTTCAGGAGGCTGAGGAGGCCGTGCCCACCATGGCCACATCCACCCAGCAACCAAGTAGT